AAACCGCCAATCTAAGTGCCATTTCCCAGTTTTGGAGAGAAAGGAAGGAGGGACTCGCAGTGCCATTAGCCATAAAGCGCCTGCCACAACTAGCATCATCCTCGAACCGGCATCGCACTGCAAAGTTTATCCCGAATTCCAAAAGCATTTATTGAAATCTAATCAGTTTTGTGTGATTGCAACGATATTTTGTAAAAATAGTTGAAACTACCCTTTTCAATAGTCGGCAGTAGGAAAGCGAACATTCGGTCTGTGCAGCCTTTCTCACCCTCTTAGACGTAAGAGTTCACAACTCCTCACAATCGTAGGAGCCCTTTAACGTCGAGAGAAGAACGCATTCAGGACAACTCATCAGATGTCAGCGGTCTGGTAGTGACAAGACTGAGGCATTAGCATCACGGAAACACAAAGTCACGCCCAATGTGTGCTGGCAACTAAGCGTGAAAGGTGAAGCAGGAAGCCAACTTTGAAGAAAAAAGGCAAAGAAGGATGACTGAATACAGAATGCATGCTCGATTGCACAACTGGGTAGATTAATGATGGATTTCCCAAAAAAGTGTCTCACACAAGCAGGAATTACCCCGCGAATACTCATAAAAGACGTGCCACTTTCATGTACACAATGGAGCTCAAAGGGAGACACGTGTATGAATGAAGAACGCTTTCATTACTTTTGCTTTCGTCATCACCAGTCGGAGAGATGACACCAACCCATATTTCAATCTGTCAGTCATGTACAAAACAACTTCAAGTTGTGTATAAATATTGTCGATTTTCTCTGACTGAATTGGAAAATCATTCACAATGTCCATCACAAGCACTACTTTTGTGATTCTCCACTTCTTTGGGTGTCGCTGCCGATTCCGGATGGTTAGCATTCTAAACACAGCAACAGATTGTATGTTTCTTGTATCAATAAAACATTTCGAATCGAGAACAAAGATGTGCTAGAAAGGTGGAGCAAGAGGCAGAAATCTGTACAAGGCGAGCAACAGCTAGTAATTCACATCAAATTCCTGATCCCCAGGACGGAATGATTCACTTGATACCCTAAACGAAGGGAAGAAAATCTCTTTTAAATTGATAAAACAACATTGAAGTACAGCCCCAACCCCGAGGTGAGTTGAATGAGTAAATCCAATTGACAAACGGGAAGTGCACTTCCTCTGACGCCCTCACGTGCTCCCACGTTTACCGTTCCCGGACGCTTAAAAGCTTCAAAAGCACACGATCAAACAGAAGTGCTGAGGTTGCTAGGAGATGAGGTGTAAATACTGTTGAAATACCTTAATTTTCGATAGCTCTATTTGTCACAAGTCAAGATACCCACTAACCTTGCATTTCTCTACCTCACTGAATGATCACCTAGTTAGCGGTTCCGGTGCTACAACCGCATTTAGTTGGTACAGAGCACTAGAGGGGGAACCTCCAACATCCAGTGGCAATGCAATACGAATTGACGAATTCACGCAGGCAACACAAAGTGAGGCATAAGAGGAAAATCATCACTCTGAAAGAAGTGAGACAGCGGACGATGAAGATAGACACCGAGCGTGTACGAATGTATAGATAAGAGGGGAACAGGACTGGAAACAATGGGGAACAAACGAGTAAGTGAAGTATGAAACCACCACATCGACTGCTTAAAGATCCAAATCGTACCTCCCGAACAAACATTCGAAGGAGGCTAAAGGAAGAAAGATAATGGGGAAGTTCATGAAAACGCATAAAAATACTATCATTCACATAATTATCTCATCAAAGTACAGAGAAATGGGAAGAGGGAGGAATGAGAAGAGAAGGTGGTCTATTGTAGCCCGAATCCCTCTGTTTCGTCGATGGCCAGAGTCACTTTTTCTACCAAAGTCTCGTACGACCGGTAGGGCGGCAAGTCAAGCCGGTTGAAGCAAGTGTGACTAAGTGGTAGGGCGTTCTCCTTACCCGCACGTTTGATCGTGAAGAGTTGCAGTCCGTTGCTCCCTGCATATGGACAAATGAATAGAAGGTAAACACCGGGTGAATTAAAGAAGGATGCAAACGAATAAAGGGTAATGCCCTAGAAAAGATGAGTATGCACATCTGGTAGAGTGTGTACTACGCGCTGCTCACCGATGACCCAGACGTCATGGACTAGTGCAGTCCAGGCAAAACGCCAACAATAAACATGCGACTTAGCAGAGATAACAATATTAACAGAACAGTGCATAATGGATAAATCTCTTTCAAACCAATTCATCGAAAAATGTTGACACGCAAGACGTCAAGAGCCTATGGTATGGTATAGATAGATTTGATCAGTAGATTAAACGATTAAAACGTCTGGTCGTATGTCTGTAGCTCAGTGAAGGTCTCTCAACCTTGATTCAGGATACTCAGGGCACCCGCCATTTATCCTGCAGCCAACCACTACTATGGTGGTATGAGGACCGAATGCTGATGAGATTATGGAATTGCAGCTCAAAATATCTATAAACTGACAAATTGCTTAACGACACAAAAGAATAAGTAAATTAAATGGGTTAAAAAATCACCCATTTCAACAGACAATTTAAGTTCAAAAACAAAGACGGTGAAAAGTGAACGATTGCAACTAGGTACGGTGATTAAGCCTGTTCCTCCACGCAAAATGTTGATTGGATGTGGTGGTGGCCTGTCAAACCAACTTGATCTGCAGTGCATCCAAACGACACAATGTTTTACGAGCTGCCTATGGAAATACCCAGTGGTCCGCAAGAAGACGCACATATTCCACTAGCTAATGGAATGAGCGAAGAGTTATGTGGCAGACAGCTTGAAAACAATGATCAAACAGGAGAAGTGAATTAGCTTGGTCACAATGCAAGACCGGGATCAAAAGTACGGAGTATCGCCTAAAGTGACTCAACTTGATCACGTGATCCACGTTCCTGCCCTCGTGAATAGCATTACAATCCACATGAAAAAAAGGTGTCAAGTAAAAAGGTAGGGATGTGGCATAAAGGCGTGTATGCCTCCTGACCTAGCGTGGGACGCAAAAATCAGCTGCAGAAGATGATAAAAAAACATCTGCTGAGGGGAAATAAGTAGGAGGAATTGACACACCCATGAGTTCTTTGAAGCCACCAACAGGTAAACGACAGGTTCCCGTGACGAATTGCAGCAGACGCACTCGTTTCTCCGTGGACAGAGTTCGAACGAACTAAAAAACGATGGTAAAAGAAATAAGCATCAGCGCCACTATCACTGAGCATTAAGGGATTAGACATGGAAACACATCTTTCTTATGTCAGTGGCGGAAAATAAAACGGTTCGATATGAGCCATAGGAATTGACACCCCTTAGTTCTATTGCAGTGCTTGAAGGGAGTCCTCGCGATAGGTATGAAAAACTTTTTTTTGCCTCTCAATACTATCTTGACGTGCAGGAGGTAGTGCATAAAGATTGCCCAACTGCATTCATTAAAGACGAATCTAAAAGTGGTTTGCTAAGAACGAAAATGGGAAGTATTAATCAGCAGAACCTGTAAAAAGGTCTTTGAAAAGTGCAAGATGATGGATTTTATGCCATACTTTCTCATTTCCCCAAAGGATAGTACGAGAATAACTTACAGTTGAAAAGTTCATTAGTTGTGGAACTGTCAAGAATAATTTATACAAATGCCTAATAAACATCAAGGCAAGCATTTAAAGGCATGGGCATCTCATCAAAACACCCAACGTGAAGTAGAGTTCCACCGCTTCGGGTAAAACTCTACTTCACCTGCATACAATAACGGCTCGTCATCATTGTTAACTCGACTATCAGCGGCTTCCATTCGTTGATTAGCTAAAAATAGGAGTTAGCTTGGAATAACGCTGCAGTATGATTCTCCAAGCCAACTTAGCGATGTGAACTGCGATGAAGGTTGATGTGATGAGAAAAAGCAACGCACCCATTCATACTTTCGCTCCAAACGTCAGTGGTTCTGTAAACGGGGTTTGACATTTTACCACTAATGCAGTTGGTACCCTAGTTTCGTGTGAGGGCGAGACCTGAGCTGAGGCGAAGACAGCCGCGATACGAAAAAGAGAGTCAACGGATTTACACCACTGATACTTAGAACTACCATCCTTAAAACAGCCCAGGCGAAAAAGAAGTACCAAGGCGCCTAAAAATGACTAACATTTGAAAAAGTGTAAGTTAAAAAAAAAGCATCTCCAGTGGAGAGACTAACCTTCCAGAACCAAACAATCTGTTTGCTCGAGAAGGTGTAGTCCTTATAATTCGTATTCTGCTGCCAATCATCCACATCGATCTTTTGCAATCCGCAGAGAATCATCTACAGAAAATGAACAAAGTGGGTATTTAAGGCTGAAGGGAGTCGTGGGATGGAAGCACAATAAGAGACGTCACAACTTCGCCTGCCATCCAATTACCGTGCATCAAAAACCCTTCTCAAAACAATCCAACCCAAAAAAGGCGGTATTCAGGAGTTCCGAGTAAACAGCGTTGAAGAAATCAACATCTCTACTGGTGCAAGCTCATCGCATCAGCCATCATTTTCGCAGTAAAGTCAACTGCGTTTAGCAGAAGGAAGCTATGACCGTGCCGGAAGTGATCACAAAGATCGCACAATACAATACCAAGGAAAGTCTCCTACGATTAGCCTTTTAGTTGTTCTACCCTCTAATAAAAAACACCTCCAACCTTACTCATAATGTTTGTATCTTATTCGTGAAAAAAAAAACCCGAGGCGTGAATGATGACGATTTATTGCTTATTTAGGAAATTGAGTCAAAGAGGCTTGAGACAGACTTCTACGCTTCAATAACCCGCATTAATCCGTGGCATGAGCTTACGCATCCACTCTTCCTCACACTCTATCCACAAAAATAGCTTTTAGAAGGTTGTTTACAGCTAAACGGATTGTCTTTTGTTCGGAAAAGACGTCTGAATGGGCATAAGCCTTCAGCAGAAAGGCAAATTTGCCAACTCTTACATCGAGTAGGTGCAAAATGATCCAAGCACCCAACC